CAGAGGCCCAAGTCAGCGAGGGGGGTGCATCTCCCCCAAACTCCCTGCTCACATCCGATTCCAGGGCGGCAGCCAGGGAGGGGGCGGGGGGCAGCCACAGGGTGGGGGCTCCTGCCAGAGCTCCTCTCCTGCCCGCAGCGCCTTTATTCTCACACCCTTGATTAGTTTTTACACTGATCCCAAGCCCTCGGGACCCCTGGTTGGGAGATGGTGTTGCAGCAGTTGCCGAGGCTCTTGGCATCCCTCAGACTGCAGCGGGGCTGGGAAGGGCCCTGGGGGGCAGCAGGGTGGGCAGGGGACTGATGCCCACCAGGACTCAGGTGCTCAGCACCGTGGGCTGGGGCAAGGGGTGCAGGGGTGGTTGTGGAGGGGGCTTAGCCCCCAAACCCTGCCCCAAACATGCATGGGTCCATATGGTTCTATACATGGAGACACTGGTCCATGCATGTGCAGGAGTGCCCATACATGCTGGGACACTACTCGTGACCCTATACATACGCACAAGTATATTCAGACACACATGGGCACACCATATGCATGTGAGCACACACATGGTGCCATACACACCCCTACACACACACACACATGGGTCTATACACACTTGGCCACATCCATACACACCTGGGCACTCATATAGGTCCATAAACACATATCAGCAATCACATGGGTTCATAAACACTTGGGCACTCATATGGGTCCAGCACTCACACGGGTCCAGACACACACGGGCATACTCCTACACTTAGATGGGCATTTATATGGATCCATACACTCCCGTTGGTTGATATGCACATACACGCCCAGAACAGCCCTGTATGCACTCCGAGCTGTACCCCAGCAGCCCCCTGCTCCTGCCCTGTGCCCCTGCACTTGTGCTGGGCTGCTAGAGCTGCCAGAGCTGCTGCTGCCGGGGATTAGCACACTGACCCTTGCTGCTGCCGCCACCTCCCCGCTGCAGGTGGTCCCAGCCCCGGGGCTGAGCTCTGCCTGCAGGTTCACTGGCGAGAAGCCTCCAGGCAGCTGTGAATAGGAGCAAACACCACATCCATCCCCTCTGCCTCTGCGGTGTAACCAGAGATCCTCTAATTTAGTCCCGGGAGCCCTGCGGTTGTTGCTCCTGCACCTGGGTTGAAGATGCGCTGAGGCCGGGGGTGGGGGGCAGGGAGACCACCTCCCTCTCCCCGGGGTCCCCCTCCTGAGCTGCCTCCATTCCCTGGCAGGCAGGGACAACCCCGCAGGAGAAAACAATGGGGATGGAGGCAGGAGGGCATGCACTGCAGGCCCTGCACCCCATTTTGGAATGACACTGAGGCATGGGGTGGAGGTCCATGGCACAAGGAGGACTACAGCCAACTCGGAGCACTTTCCTCCAGGCTTTGAGATGTGAACACAAGCGTTCACGGCTGGCAAGTCCCCCCTAAATGCATGCAAAGGGCAGGTGGGTGCAAGAGGCAACTGCCAGCTCAGGGACAGATGGGGCAGGAGCAGCACCATGGCAAGAGGAGGAACAGCCACACCAGGGTTGGCCAAGGATCATGGCAAACAGCTGCTGGCAAAGCCAGCCATCCCCAAATTAACCACTGAGGCTACGAGACACCCGAGAGTCCCCAAAGGGCTTGCTGGGGCTCACCACCCCCCCCAGCTGCTTCCGGGCAGGGAAGAAGGAGCTCTGTGGGGTCCTGATCCCCCCAACCGCAACCAGATGTGTCTGAACGCGCTGGCGGGGCCCTGGCAGGGAGGGCATCCTCCTGCCAGCAAACGCTCTGCTGCCAGAGAGCTGGGCACAAAATCCAGGCATTTAAGTCCCTCCTGCTTAGGGACACAGCTTCTGCTTAGGTTACGCAGCACCGCAGCATCGCAACTTGGTGGCATCCCCGTCCCCAGGGAAAGGGGGGGTTCATGGGTAGCACATGGTCAGACCCCAGTCAGTGCCCCCTGCCTGAGGGCCAGGCACCCCTGCCTGGGTGCGGGAGACCTCCTGGACCTTTGCCCAGGTCTCTACCCATGTGTCCTTATCAAGTGTACATAGACCAGCACCGGGGGCTGATGCAAGAGGCAGGGGTGAGGGGGTCTCACAACCCCATAACATCAGAGTGGCCCTCCCAGATCAGAGCAAAGGTCCTGCCAGCCCCCCAAACCAGCACCTCTGGAAACGTATAAACCTGGGGGAAGCAGTGTTTGCCTATTAACCCTCAATGGGTTTCTCCACCACGACCTCATTCTCTGCTCCCATTTTCCACTGCGCTGCATGGAAAACCCCTGCAGCTGGTCCTGCACCCACCTCCCACCTCATTCCCATCAGGGTCCTCTCCTCACTGTGGAGAGCCGGGGAAGCGGCTCCTTGCCCACCCTTTGCAAACCAGCCTGGATTTGGTGGTCCTCGTTCACACAGCTGTCCCCCCCACCCAGGAGGATGACAGCAAGGACAGACCCCGAGACCTATCCCAGGTGATGCCAGCAGTGCTGTGCTGGAATGGGGCAGCTTTAAGCAGGGGGTCCTGCTGGGAGACACAGTCCTGGCCACTGCAAGGTCTCTCACTGGCTCCAGGACCCCCATGCCCACACTGCCAGTGTCCTGGCAGCTTGCAAGCAGGCACACGCCACCCTCCATGCCCCACAGCATCACAGCCCAGCCCCTGGGAAACCTCTGAAAGCCGGAACACGGCCACCCTCCCGGCTCAGCCCCTGCAAAGAGCGGAGAACCTGTTCACCAGGCTGGGCGAGGCACAGCCTTGCAGCCTGAGAAGGGCCTCGGGGGGGACACACATGTCCCTCCCAGGCAGGGGCATCCCCTCCCAGATGATCACAGGGGAGGGACAGGAGTGACAGCCACCGTGCAGACGCCAAGGCCAGCCGGCACCGCAGCTGCCCCAAACTGCCACCCCATATAGGGCAGCACCAAGCAAAGGCAGGGCAGGGCTGGTTCCAGTAACTCCTTTCCCCTCTCCCTGTCCTATCCCATATAAGCCACCCAGAAGCAATCAGTCTCCTTGTCCCTGTGCACCCAGGGGGCACTGAACATAAGGGACATTCCGCTGTCCCCTGGGCTGGGTGGGACATGCCACCAAGTGGGAGACCTGTGTGTGGGTCTCTGGAGCAGGGAACCATTGCCTTTCCCATCAGGGTTGGAGAGAGAAAAGAGCAAGCAAGCAAGGAGCCAGCTCTCACCCCAGGAAGCAGCAGCAGGATTTATCCCCGCCCCCCCCCGACTTCCCCTGCTATCCATCTCTCTGGTATTCCCACAATGCTGCCAGCTTTGCTCCTGCCCCGCACGGGGAGTGCAGACAGCCCCAGCCAGGGGCAGGGTGTGAGGCTGAAGGGCAAGAAATGCCGGGGATGCTTTCTCTGCATAAAGCCTCCCCGAGCCTGGGAGGGAGGAGCTGCTTCCCACCTCCTGGCTGACCCCGAGAACCGGACAGTCAGCCTTTTTCTGCGCAGCAGGGTGTAACATAACACTTCCCGGACAAGATACTCAGCCTATGCAGCGCACCCACCCCAGCCCTCCCCGGCTTGCTTTCGAGGCAGTGTCCGGCACTGGCAGCGTCCCCAGGCACAGCCATGGGACACACGCTCTCTGCGCCCTGCCTGCACCCACACCTGCCGCCTCGCAGGCGGGGGCCCAGGGGGGTGAGCCCTGGCCCCTTTGAATAACACCATGCTGCGCAATCTCGAAACAGAAAAGGCAGCAGCATGGCCCCATGGCACCCAAAAGTCGGGTCCCTGCTGCTGTCCCTGTCCCCTCCTGCCAGTGCCACTGTGGCTGAGCTGGTATGTGCCCTCATCCCACTGTCCCCTGAGCAGTGCCATCCTAAAAAGCCACACACCAGCTGTGCAGGGACATCTCTGCCTGCTCTGTCCCCTTGCCGCGTCCTCCCTGTCACCCACCCTGCCACCAGCGTCACCCCTCTCTCCCCCCATAATGAAGCGGAGCACACAGGGAGCGCAAACCTGACCTGGCACTGTGCAATCCACACTCACACCCACACTCACACCTGTGCACAGAGCAGCACGTGCCACATGCGAACCAGGGCTTGCACAACACAGCAGGGACAGGATCCATGCACGGGGGCATGTTATTAAATACACAGAGGCCTTTCCTCCACCCTATATACGAGCCCCAGAAGCCCTGCCCCTGCGCCAGATCTCTGTGGCACAGGGGTCTCCCCTATGCCCATCGGGAGTGAGGGTCGACACGCTGCTCCCTCCAGCCAATGTAGGAAATCAATGAGCGGCACTGACCAGCAGTAATACGCCCCGACCCCCGTGGAGACACGGGGGAGCTCGGCTCCACAGCCCACCAGCCCCTTGGGGTGACCATGCACCAGAGCCCTCACCCTTGTCCATCTCCGCAAAACCTCCATGGACAGGGGTCACCCCATTTTGCATGTCATGGAAAGCACCAGGGATGGAGCCTGCATGGGTCAGGGTGGGAACAGGGAGGTAGCTGGACACTGGGCACCCCGTCGTGCTGCAGTGCCTGGGGACAGGCATAGGAAACATGGGGGAGGTGGGTGACATGAGGCAGAGGGATGGGGCTTGGTGACAGGGAGATGGGGAGCACATGAGGATGCCTGTTGGGGTGGGACAGGGCTCAGGGACAGGGGCAGTGAGGAGTGTTCAGGGGTTACCCATTTGGGGCAGGATGGGGCTCCAGGACAGGGGTGTTGGGTTGCACTGACTGTGCTTGCCTGGGATGTGGTTTGGGGGCAGTGGAGGGGGACCGGGGGGTTCCCATTTAGGGTAGCATGGCAATAATGTCTGCGGGTAATGGGTGTACTGGGAATGTCAGCTTGGGGTGGGACTGGGATGGGGCTTGGGGCAGTGGTGCTGCCCATTTAGGGTGGGATGCAGACAGGGTTTGGGGGCAGTGGGGGCCATAAGTGGCATCCATTCAGGGAGGGCTGAACCCCAAGTCTGGGGTCTGTGAGGGAACATCAGGGATGCCCACCTAGGGCGGCCGGTGCTGGTGCCGGTGCGCTGGGGCCAGAGATGCCTCCTACCTGCTTGAACTGCTCCTCGTAGGTCCACTCGTGGTGCGGGGGGGGCGGCGGGTCGCGGGGCTCCCCTTCTTCTTCCTCCTCCTCCTCCTCCTCCTCCTCCTCCTCCTCCTCCTCCTCCTCCTCCTCCTCCTCCTCCTCCTCCTCCTCCTCCTCCTCCTCCTCCTCCTCCTCCTCCTCCTCCTCCTCCTCC